GCTGGAGCTAGGAGAACATGGCTTGGATACCTGCATCTAGGCATCAACAAAATTTGTATACAAATCTTAAGGCATATTGAAGTCACCGCCTTCCGACGTATTTAATTCAAGTCTGATTTTCCTGGCTAGGAAACGAGTGAGCTTTGTCCTGATTCAGTTTTATGTTCATCATGAAGGAAGAGCTGACTGAAGGGGTCATCATGAAGGAAGAGCTGACTGAAGGGGTCATCATGAAGGAAGAGCTGACTGAAGGGGAAGCCAACCCCAGCTCGCCAGCCAGAAATCATGACGAGAATGGCAACAGTGCCCCCCCAGACAGAGTAACGCAACGAGACACAACTAACCCAGCTCTGGAAGTTGTTTGTCAAATTCTCTAATAAAATTAATGAGGGCCATCTGACAGCCCACTTTGGGTTTATGGTGCAACTGAATCGTGCACCGTAATTCATGACCCTAAAACAACAAACTCCAGACAGATTCGTGACCTTTCAGGAAACAGAATGTCTCGAACGGGCCTTATCCGCTCGACCACACTCAATAATGCAAGAACAAATTGAAATCAGGAGAGCTATACCAGAAACTCTTAAACAAGCAGCTCTGCCAGTTCTCCCCCCCCCCCCCTCCCCAGCTAATCGAATATTTGTTAGAGTTTAGCCAAAGATTTAACAGACGCTGACCTGTTTGAGGCATTTAGGGCGTTCTGACAGATCACTGAAGTCAACACTATTATTTACGAAAAGTCAAGAAAAACAATGCAAAGTTCAAGGACTATGGCTTTGTCACCTTTGCAGAGCCAGACAGTAAGGACAGAGTCCTATTACAATCTTCCCACACAGTAAAAGGAAATAAAGTTTTCTGCAAAAAGGCATACCCTAAGGAGAATACCCAAACAAGAAGCCATCAAGAGCCGAGTGGCAGCAGAGGAATAGGGCTTATGAGGCATTCTCGCAAATGGAGTCGTGGGCAGACCCCTTATTAAATGGTCTTTATTCAGCTTCTGTAGTCTGAACAATTAACTGTGGAGCCATGGAGACCACTCATAGATCTGTGGCTACAGAATCATCTCGATGCAGAATACTGTTGGCAAACTTTTGGAGAAAATTGTCACACGAAGATTGACACAACAGTCCGCAAATCCAACTAACGAACGTGATGCGATGGATGAACCAGTTGGGGTTCAGAGTAAACACAGAGAAATCAGTACTGATGATTTAAACAAAAAATCCAGACAGCCATACGATGAAAGATAAGTTGTATAAAATAAAACTTTACGGCAGAGGGTCCAGAGGAAGCGGCACACCAAATTCCTGGAAATGGAGCTAAACGAGCAATTAAACTGGAACAGGCACATTGACTACATGGTGGGACGTACAAAACAGCTGATAAACATGCTAGAATACATTAAGCTGTTCAGTATAACCATCAGACCTAACAGAGTTCAGATAGCATTCCCAGGAAAAACTTTCCTGGGTCCTATAGTGGGTTCTAGGGTAGCAAAGCGAGAGGCTGTTGGCAGAATACTCAACACATCTGTACCAGAAACAAAGATACAAGTTGGGGCTTTGCAACTTCTATTAAAAATTCAAATCATAATATTTAGAAATTACTGCAGTGTTGTCATCATTAACCAAGAAGTGCATGCTCATGAAAATAGTTATTGTGACCAATATAAACAGGTTTAACAAGTTACAATTATCACAGAATGGCAGGGGTAAGGATTGCCACCCTCTCTTGGGAAATAGGAAATTCCCATTTTTTCCCATAATCAAAAGCTTGCATTAGTGATGGGGGTACAGCTATATTCACTAAATACCACGAATATCACAGCATTAAGATAAGTATAACAAGTTATATTTAGAAGCTGATGTCATAAGCACAGAAAGAAACTCCCACGAACCTACCGGAAGCTTACATTACCTACTTCTGGCACCCTTTTAGAAAACAGCCATCCATATGAGAAGTCACAGACTTTGGTATTTTCCCCCGAAGAAAATATCGGCAAAATCTCATGGAATTTAAAGTGTTTTCTTATCTGGAAAAGAAGCCAGACTATGCCAACCATGTACTACAGTGAATCAAAAATTCACCAGATATTCGGCTGAGTCAGTCTTGACTAGTTATCGTAGTCGTCATTGGGTGTGGGGTTTTAGCAGCCCACATAGGCATCATTACCTTACCAAAGCGACTGCCTTGAATACTGTTTGGAGAGCACACTTGGTGTCCTTTTCAGGATACTTAACAAGTCTTGCCGACCTCTCAGAGATCAAGCTTTCGCTCAGCACCTTATAGGTAACGTCTAGCTACCCGCTTTGACAAGATGGGAAAAACCAAGCGAAATCCGCCTCACCCAAGAAGCCGGAGCCTGCTGTAACAGAAGCCGCAGCTATAGACGACCAGAGCCAGGAGACGATCACCCAAAGACCGATCAGCCCCACTCCTGAAGTGGAAGCCACAGCGGCACCATCCAGTATCTCTGAAATTGAGAACCAACAATCAGCATCCAGAGCCGCCGACATTTCAGCAGCTCAGTCAAACACGCAAGGGAGGCCGCAACACATAGTAATTACAATAGGGCGTGACACACCACAGCGACCTGTCTTAGCGGGCCTATTTGCCGTTACTGTTCAGGGACGCACGACTTTAAGGAGTGCCACCTGGCAAAAATCGACCAGGACTTTAGGAGGCCAAACTCAAGAAGAAAGTCCTCAAACTGTGCAGGGGCCCACAGTGCGAGGTACCTGGGTTGTCCTACCTCAAAGAGATAAAGAGGGTGATGCTGAATTACGAGGCAACCAGACTAAGCACCACGAAAAGCCAGCCAGCCTCTAAAGCCAAAGTCATAACACCTGAGAAGATTAATGTTATCACAAGATACCCTGAATTGGTGCGCGCCATCACAGAACTGAAGGCAGAACTACAGAAGGAGAAAGCCACTGCTGCCGCCGAGAAAGCAGAAACGCATGAGCTGATCACCCTAATGCTGGGAGAAATCAAAGCCCTGAAGGAGGTCAGTTCAGCACAAGTAGCACAACAAATTGTAGACAACAAACATGATGCAGAAACCAAAAAAAGCATCTGCGAATTAATCGCAAGTCTGAAAGCAGCCCAGATAGAAGCAGAAAAGCGCAGACAGGAGGAAAGGCAGGAGAGAAAGAAGGAGATGGCGGAGCTTAAGGAAGCCCGAGAAAGTACCTACCGAGATGTCGCAAGACTGACCCAACAGAAAGAGGAGAAAGAGGCAGCTGTGCTAGAACTCCAGAAGATGACGGCCATACAGGATGAGAAAACCGCTGCATGGGACAAACTCGCCACTATCCATGACGAACTGGCAGAGGCACGAGAAATCATACAAGAACTCAACGAAGTTAAGCAAAAACTTTCCAATGAAGCAGACAAAACTGACAAAATTGTGACTGCAGCTATATACTCCCAGGAACCAGAATATGATGATGAAATTTATCAGCAAGAACAAGTACCTGACCTAGAAAACAAAGACTCTGAACAGAACTCGGATGCAGAAGACTTAGACCAGCCAGATCTCGAAAGCCCAGAATTCGAAATACCAGCCATAGTAGCAGAACAAGTTATACCAGAATTCCCAGAGGAGGGGACCGAAATCACCATGACGTACGGGAGCTTCACCGGAGGATTCATGAGCTAATGTTTCCGCACAAGCTGATCGTAAACTAAAACTGTGTCTACAATGAGTACAACGAGGACGAGTGGAAAGAAGAGGAGGCAAGCCAAACACCAGAGGAATTTCAGGCCAGCAAGGACAGGTTCCTCCAACTCTTCATGCGAATGAAAACAGCTGCCACACAACATTTCGCCCAGGAACAAGAAAAGGAACGCTAGAGCGTATGAAATCCAAAAATGAACACACCAGGCAGACGAAACAGCTACCAGCACTTCTAACAACAATCAATGGTAACCACCTAGCCACCATGACAGCCCAACTAACCAGCTCAGCCAGATGTGAACCTACACCAGACCCGCAGGAGACCCCCAACCACAGAGCCAGACAGCCAATCAGCCAGCACTGTACCACAGCAGTCCCAACCATTTCCTGTACGCCATCCTACCCCAGCAAACCTAACTGTCCTTCTTAGGACAGTTACCCCTACCCAGCCATGTTGAAGGAACTCAAATTGCAGCCCGGACTACGCAGACAGCCCACCAAGCAGACCAGTGGAAAGCATGCACCAATCAGATACGGTCAATAGCACCAACACGCCACAACAAGAAAGACAAACGAAAACCGCACATAAACAACGGACCCAATTATAATGAGACCCCCAGGGTACATTGAAGCGTCCAAGTTGAGTATTTTTTTTTTCATATCAAGTCAAGTCAAGACCGGGTTTGACTAATCTGGTGGAGTTTGATATGAAGCTCACCAGCACAAGCCCTGTCCAACAAAAGCGTTATCCAACTCCATTTGCAAAAGAGGGAGCGGATAGTCCTGGATGTGTATCCATTTGGACTTGGGCTTTGTGCCAGGGCCTGAGTTTTGTGTGTACATCTGTTTTACAGGTTTATTTGTGTGCAGTTAGTTATTCCTAGCTGCTCGGACAGATGCACTCCTACTTCAAACGAAATCCCCAATCAGTCATCTTCTACAACATGCTTGTTGGGGAGGCAGTGAGTATTTTTTTTCCCTTCATGGGGCTCCTGAAGCCATACAGGGAGCAGTACAAATAACAGCCCCTATCTCAGGACACTTTACAAACACAGAAACTGAAAACCGCATGAATATCACATATCATTGCGATAACTTTCATGTCAACTGCTGACGCCAGAATTTTATCACCTGCCTTTGGCACATTATCGTTTACATCTGCCAACACTTTGGGTGCCAATAAATGTACAGCTAAATGTACAACTGTCAATTCTTGACAACCCAATGCCACACTTATTAAGAGGGTAACTTGTTCAAAATCTACTGCCTCAGATGTAAGACAGCTGACTATGCACAGGTTTAAAAATAAAATTATGAAAGCTCACGCAAGTCGATCACACACATCAGAGCCCTTTTCTTTACGTTTGTCCAGTTTGGCAATCCTTGATCCAAACTGAATTGCTCGTTTTGGTTGTGATGCAGTCTTCACCAAACCTAGTTTGACAGCACACAGTCGAAGGAGGAGTTTATCACCAACCCCACGTGGCAAGTGGAGGTCTGCCTGTTATTTGAAACAAAATATTTGGTCATTTAGAAGCAAAATGCAGAAATAATGAATTCAAGTATACATGCCACTAAAGCTTTTTTTTTTCTTCTTCTTCCTTACGCTCATCAGCTGAAACTGCAGCAGAAAGTTCTGGTTATATGTCCATTTCTGGACTTATTCTTGATCCAGAACTTGGAGTTGTGCATGCACATCCGTTTTACAGATCTGGCGGCTGTCCCAGATAAAACATATCAAGGCTAAACTTTTGGCCAAGAGAAACAACGGTCCAAGCCAAACTTAACAGGTCGTTGATTGAATTAGAACAGACAGCAAAGTTCATACTAGAGACGACATTGCAGACATAGATAATCTATTTCCAGCACACAAAAGAAGAACAGATCTGGCCTATTTGTATGCAGACTGCTGGCTCCTTGCCTCTCAGACAAATGCACTTCTAACTTCAAAGGAAGCACCACTAATTAGTCGACTTTTAAAACATGCTCAGGGGGCAATGGGTCTATTCCCCCCCCCCTTCCCCCCACAATGGGCTCTAGACTCCACACAGGCAGCTGCTTAAGTAATAACATAGTAAAAGCTGGAAACAGTTCTCACAAACACAAATATGAAATGCCATATCTTCTGTCTCATTACAATCATTTTTGATCTGCATGTGCCTCCCTGACACGATTTCAAACTGTCTAAACAACTGTCATGGTTTTCCTTACCCTCTTCCCTTTCCAAACTCCTGCTGCCAAAACCTGCTCCAGTTTTCTCATTCCTAAAGAATGTGGACTGGCTTCTCCTGGCAATCAGCCCTCTATATGAATTAATTTTTTTCACGACCCTTACCCAGTGTCTGTCCTGCTGCCCCATCTATTTGATTCCAAAGATTTGTTACCTTATTCCCCTTATCAGGAGGAGCAGCCTCTTTGTCTGCTCCTAGCCCCACACACCTATAAATGTACTAGGTAGAAAGTGCATGATATGCAAACCACTGTAAGCTGTAGGAGGTGAAGAATACTTGATGCCGTTATTCGGCTAATGTCGACTATTGAGACTAATGGGAAATTATGACGTCATATTTTCTAAAACCCTTATTTTCCTATAACATCCCCTAAATGCTATTTTCAGCAAATATAATCATTCCCGGTTTTCCTAAACATATGAGAAGGTGCCAACGACACCAATGCTGTTAGCTTGGCTTCTCAGGAACAGGTCATAATAGCAATGCTGTTAAAAGGGCATTTAAGTGGGACTGAACACTACTGGAAGTGCCCTGTTTGTGGACTCTTGCGGTTAAAGGGTTAACTCTGGAATGGATGTGAAGCTTCCTGATATTTCATTACAAACTATTACTGCTATAAAAATATTATTTGTAAACCCAAAAATTAATTAATAAATAACAGAAGTTAACCAATTATAATTTTTTTGAACCATTTAGAAAGAAGAGTGAGCCAAGGCACCAATACAGTAACCAAGCTCCACCCATCATCAGTGGCTGCATCTTATTTGTTCTGAACAGTATGGCTCTGTGATCATTACCAAAGATTCATGACAAATCAAAACTCTGATATGCATTGTAATATAACCCTTTCATCCTGAAAAATTAAGAAACTAAGAAGAGTTTGGAGGAAAGTGAGATGTGGTTCTTGAGAAGAATGTTGCCAATACCTTAGACTGCCAAAATAACCAACGATTGCCTGGAAATGGTGAGCGAAAGCAGAACATTATATACAACAATTACAAGGAGACAAACAAAGTTCTTTAGTCATGTGATTAGAAAAGGAGCACTGAAAAATATGACAAATGGAAAATTACTGGAAGAAAATGCAGAGGCAGACCAAGAGATGGTGGATGGCTCAAGACAGTGGCATGGAGGAATATCATCAGTGGAATTGATCCAGAAGACTAAAGTCCAAATCTGTGGAGATGCATAACGCCTAAGTTAGCTGGCAAGGCACTTGATGATGATGACCCTCATAAGTTTTAAAATTGACACTTCTGACTGGGTCTAATTCCCTGCAAATGTTACTTTTCCGACTCACTTATGGTGACCTGTTTACGAGACCTACATTTAATGCTACTGACTATTTTTGTGCCTGCGTAAACGTTTAGAAGTCAAGATAGAAAGTTTATTAAAATAACATTCAGGGGTTTTCATTCAAAGCAAATAGTTTTATAAAAGTCAAACTGCCCGCAAACCTCAGTTGTGAAGTCACAGCATCAGGCATTCGATAAAAATGTTTTAAAGACATTTCATTCTTACCACTGTTGTGTATATTTAATAATTTATTCATGCATCTTTATATATTTCAAAAACAAATTTTAAAATGTAGATGAATAACTCTTTTATGAATTTAATGGTGACCTGTGAAAAATTTTAATTTTTCTAAAGGACTTTTTCCTGGAATTATCTTGAGGTCATGACCTTTTTTTTAAAGCATTCTCAGGGAGAAAGTGTTAAAGTTACCAAAAGATACTCACCCGCTTACAAAGTGGAAGTGCACTAACAAACCGTGTGAAGGTTTCATCCAAGAAAGGAAACCTACATTCCTTGCCATGGTCTGTAATTATTCTGAAAGTTCAACACAGGAGGTTTTAATTGATACAAAATAATAATGCAAAATATTGATGGCAAAATACATGCCTTTATACATAGTGAAAAGTTATGTGGAATGAGCTGAACCAAGTACTGACATCACAGCACTCAGGGCATTCCCATGCGTGCTCCATCCTCATCTTCAGCAGAGCTCCAATACTGATGGTATTGGTCACAATCTGGTCATATGTCTGTCTCACCTTTTCTCTGGTAACACCCAGGTGCCTCATTCTCTCCAGGCCATAACAATCTTGTTTCTCTACTGATTCCATTGCTTGTTGTTCCCAAAGGGCATTGACCATATCTGCTTAGTCATTTATCAATTCACCAATCAGTGGTGCAGATCCAGTCAATCTGTCTTTCTGTTTATTACCCACTACGCCGGCATGGCCTAGAGAAAAAAATCCAAAGTATGCTCACTACCCATGACCTTCCTAGAGAAGCTTGTCCCTCTGCTCAAAGCATCCCTGTCTTCACCTTTCTCAGCATGCCTTCAGAGTCTGTTACAATCATTTATGTGGAAGTGACAAGAGGTGTGGTTTTATAGACAAATGATGAGATCGCCCCGGTCAGAAAACAAGAGTAATGTAATAAAGATGTCATCAAAGAAACTGATGCATGAAAAAAACAGCCCACATCAGGAGACAATCTACAGCCTTTGGTCGGATCATGAAAAGGAGAAAGCTTGAGTACACTGTGACAGTAGAAAAGCTGGAGGGAAAGAGAGGCAGAAGAAGACCACCATAAAAGATACTGGACAATCTGACATCATGGCATGGAAAGATCATCTGTGTCAAAGTGACCAAATGTACATGAGACAGAAGGTTGTAAATAGACATGACTACCAATGCCACATGGTACAGATTATAAGAAGAAGACTGATAATGACGTCAAAGAAAATTCAAACATTGCACTGAACCAATTATATTGATATCAGCCACTGTAGCTCATTGGCTGGAGGCTTGACCTGAAGGACCTGGGTTCAAATCCACATCAAGACAGTTAAAAAAAAATATACTGAAATCCAGGTCAACCCAGGGTAAAACGGGCACTAGGTCATGTCGTGGGAAGTAAAGGGGATCGGTGTGATGGTGACCATATCACCCATCAAGTGCTGATAGATCAGTAAAGATATGGGACTAGCAACACAACATTGCATGAACTATGAGAAAAAGAAAAACACATGGACAATTTCAATGCACATTCAACATTAAAGCTGCCTCATTTTATCTACCTGTCATCCCTTCCAAGATTCCTGGCCGATATTCTCCACATCTCCTCCTGTATCTCCTTCAACAGCCCTGCCCACCCCTTGGTCTGAAATGTCACACGATGCCGAGAATACCCAGCAAACTGTTCATCTGCAGCCATGCCACATAGTAGTACCTAATGATTGTAAAGTGCATACACAGTCACCACATAGTAGGACCTAATGATTGTAAAGTGCATACACAGTCACCACATAGTAGTACCTAATGATTGTAAAGTGCATACATAGTCACCACATAGTAGGACCTAATGATTGTAAAGTGCATACACAGTCACCACATAGTAGTACCTAATGATTGTAAAGTGCATACACAGTCACCACATAGTAGTACCTAATGATTGTAAAGTGCATACACAGTCACCACATAGTAGTACCTAATGATTGTAAAGTGCATACACAGTCACCACAGAAAAGAATAGGTCATATTTTATAGAAACAAAAACAACCAAAAATAGAAGCTTAGAAGAGGCTGGGGATGAAAAGGAAGCTGTTGAAAGAAAAAAAAAAACAGCGACAAGTAAAATATTTCAAAGCTTATAAAAGACCTAGCTCTCAGTAAACTATTATGGAGGGAAAAACTGAAAGCAAGAAGTAGACTGACAGAAATAGGATTAAATCTGGTAATCAAAGTTTCAAGGTTACAGCAAACGAGTCATGGCTGCCCTGCTCCTGTGCCAACTAAAAAAAAAAACAGAATGTCCATCACTGTCTCTTGTGGAAAAACTGACAAAGACTGCAGTTTCAGCATATCCACTAGTATACACATGCATTTAAAACATAAGGCAGCCATGAGAAGTGCTAAAACAAACAGTCCCACGTAAGAAATGCAGTTAGTTCATCACTGACGGAAACAGCAGTTACAAACAGATCAGCAGTTGCACACGCAATTAATTTTAATCACATAAGGCAATACAATCACTTGCCATTTTATGAATCTTCAGTTCACATTTGTTGGTAACAATCTAAAAACATTCCACATGAAAAAAAAAACAGAGCTCATAGTGTCACACCATGCACTCAACTTAGTAGGTGGATGATAAAACAATATATTTTCAGCCTACAAATGGAGGAAAATGCAACAGCCACTGCCTGTCAGAAGCAAAAATTTGCAATGGCTAAACACAGTGAACGTCTATTTTGACCAAAAGTCTGGGATAATAACACTAATACATGGACAAACAGGCAATCTCAAAGAGTGTTTAAACCAGTAGGGGAGACACAGTATTGGAGATCCACTGTGGCCAATATTCAATGTAAAGATGAAATCTGACTGACCTTATTTGCTGGCAAAGTTCTGCTTCTCAAATTAAATGTTATAGAATAATCTCATAAATGCAAACTTTCCAGTTTGGATTCTGGGACTCCATTGTGGTTGGAGGTGACTAACAATTTATTACAGAGCCTAGATATTTTAAGTTTGTGACATTTTCAATTTCTTTATCATTTATTGTTATTTTTGGGTGACAGCCAGTTTCTGCCTGCGGACATTATTTTTGTTTTCTTTAAATTCAAGAACAGGTTTTAATCCTTAATGTGCTTTTGGACAGACATTAAATGTTCTATTTATTCCCTTTACATTGTTTGAAAGGAGAACTGTCATCTGCACAGCAGTAGTTCTGTAATAGGGTTGCCACAAATTATGAGTGGTTCATAAATGTCAGAATTCTGGTCATTTGAGACATTTCTCATTATATTCTGTCTTTATATTGAATAGGTATGGTGAGACAATGCAACCCTACCTCACTCACTTTTGCACCTCCAATTAATCCGATGTTTCAAGAGCTGCTCTGATGGCTGCTTGTTGTTCAAATAAAATATAAGTATTTTAAAGTAGTTAGTATTTAATTAACCAGTATTTAACAACAGAAATCACCAATCTTAAGCCTTGTTCACAAAAGAAAGAAATGTATACAGTTATACACGTAAACAGACAGTTATGACAACAGACATCACTAACCCTGGCTTTGCTTGTAAACTTTTCATTGTTGTGAAGTGTCACACCAGAACCTCTTGCAGCAAACCACACAGCACACCCGATACTATCATCCAGCACGGTCTGTAAAGGATAAATCAACCTCCGTATATGAGATTTACGCAAATCCTGTAGCTCGGCCTGCGAAACGTTTATTTTGACAAAATTCCACATACGCTTGGGGTTCAGCTCAGACAGAGCCAACAATCCAGTCTGTCTATCAGGGACGCTGAATCTGTCTACATCTACGGCTCTGCTTGCAATATCTTCCATGTCGCTTTCTGGACGAGAGGTAGTGTTGCAGCAGTCATTTCTGTCACCTAAGTGAACCTGATCCGACACAAGTGACTTAAACACAGATGATGGCGGCAAATCTGTTTTTGGTGAACAATTTACAGCACTAAATCCACTAAGAACAATGTTATCCTTTGAAAAATGTGATTCAGATAGCTTTTCTTTACAGGTTGACAAGTCTGCTGCGCTGCATCTATTTAGATTAGAGTTATTCTTGAGAAGAAGTCCTTCTGATGTCTTGGCTATGTTATGTATAGAAAAATCTGCTGTATTCTTTGAAAGACGTGTTTCAGATGACTGTTCTTTATATGGTGACAAATCTGCGGCACTGCATCCAGTGTCGTTCTTTGAAAGATGTGTTTCAGATGAGTGTTCTTTATATGGTGACAAATCTGCGGCACTGCATCCAGTGTCGTTCTTTGAAAGACGTGTTTCAGATGAGTGTTCTTTATATGGTGACAAATCTGCTGCACTGCATCCAGTGTCGTTCTTTGAAAGACGTGTTTCAGATGAGTGTTCTTTATATGGTGACAAATCTGCTGCACTGCACCCATTTAGAACAATGTCATCCTCTGGCAGATGGAATTCAGAAGGCTCACAATTATCAATATGTTCACAGTTATGATAATTACTGTTTGATTCACATGGTTTTATCTTATTAAAACCAGTGGTTTCAGCTGCTGATGCGTCTGTTAAACTTGGTGGTCTGTTTACCGTTTTTTTGTAACTTGTCTGCTTTTTTTGTTTTGCTTTGGTTTTCTGTTTGCTAAGATTGGTTGTGACAGACTGTTCAAAAGCCACATTTAACAGATCAATTGGTTCACCTTCAGGCACACATCTGAGGAAAGAACATTTCTGAAAAATCAGTTACCAGCATAATAAAACTCAACAATGAAATACACATACAAGACAATGAGCTAAGAAGTACTACTTATGAACGATAAATAAACTGGTAGTTTCCCCTTTGACTTTTGTTGGTTTGAGAGCATAAAATGACCTTATTCATGCCTGCGCATAGCTGGATTTAATAAATAAGTAAAGGATAATTTTTTTTTAAATACCAGTGGTTCATTGGGTGTATGATCTTCTTAAAGTCCATGCTGTGTGGCGTTGGTAGTCATGTCTATCCACAATCTTCTGTCTTGTGTACTTTCAATCAACTCTGACACAGATGATCCTTCATGCCATGATGTCAAACCATCCCAAATCTGTTACCTCCTACTGTCCCAATGTACTAAGTGTATGATACTAGGCTCACATTGTTATAAACCAATCAGCCTGTGTAGATGATGTGAAAACAGCACGACCCACTTTTTCTTCCTAGGACATTACACTGTACCCAGTTAGGCTGTCCTGGTGCAGATCTGAACCCTAGATCTTCTGGCCTGCAAGCTGTGTATGGTTCAGTTCTAAAAACTTTCTGTCTAAAAAGGACAGACCATGCAAGTGGTAAAGGTTATGTATAGTGCTTCAAAGAGAATGCATGAGATGAAACAGAAAAACAGCATCTTTGCAGTCTTTTATTATGGCACTGACAGATATCTGATACACACTACTGGGGACTGCAATATGAAGGGGAAGCATGATTGCTATGCCTGCCAGCAAGGCACTTGATGTTGCTGATGATGATAAAATGCATACAAGCATAACGGTATCTCTAAGAAATAATTTTACTGAACTGGCGTGCACATCGAGGAGCAGCTAGCCAAGCAGTTAAATCAGGCCTCTCATCTGGGAGACCCAAGTTTAAATCCAATAAGATGCTGGAAACAAAAAATCCTAACTGGTACAGCCGGTTGTGACTGTACCAGCTATTCAGTCCTAAATACTCAGGTTCAAGACTCCTAGTCCCACACTGCCATAAAATGTGGTTAATATAAGAGGTAGAGAGTATTCTGACCTGCATGTTTACCCATCGCTGAAAAATGGACCATATTTTCATCTTCCTCTTTACCTGCCGTGGGTGTCGAGGGAGATAAAGTTTTTTTTTCTTGCTCTTCTAGCTATATAGGCCATAGACATTTTGTACTGTTGCAAAATTTCTTTGATGTTATATCTCCATAAAGAATGTCACTGATGTTATCTTTCCATATTATTCTTAGCTACCTTATTTCATGTGTTAATGTTACATATTTGAGCATCCATCTTGAACAACAGCAAAGCCCATAAATCCAAAAATAAGACTAGGTCTTATATATGATTTTTTTCTCCAACAGATGCTTTCTGCTTATTTTCAGGGAATGTCCTTTTTTATCATATACAAAATTCGTCACTTATCCAAGCAGCAAAAAATATCCATTTTTTTTTCAAATACACACTTATTCAAATAGTCATCTTCTTCTAGGCTATCTTTAAAATTCAATATGTCTGGCAAATGTTTTCAATGACAAATAACAGGGTTAGCATTAGTTTCATTGTTAATAGCTCTAGCTTTAACATTCCTCAGGGAAGTTAACCTGGTTTACAAATTGTTCAATGAAGTCAGAGGTGTCAGCCGAAAAGTGCAACCATCACAGCTTTGCTGTAAACAGGCACAATCGAATTACGTCACTCTGACGAATGAAAAGAAGCGTCAATGTTCCTACCACTATTTATGATGCTGCTACCACTACGTGGACGCTGCTATTACAACTAACACATTAACAAAAACCACAACAAAGCAATAACAATAATCACCTGTCAGCTAAAGCTGCGAGGACAGTAGAGTCCAAGCCACCAGAAAACAGGACAGCAACATTAGCTTGCAAAATCAGGGTTTGACTCTCTTGGAAGTGAAGGTGTTCACCTTCATCCCCCAGCCCTGTAGACAATGATACTTGATCCCCACATGCTGAGCTACAGTTCTGGTGTTCTCTGATAATCTCACACTGACAGCTTCTGGGATTCCTTGGTAGATTCTTCACTCTTTTATCCACTGATGATTGCAGAACATGTATCAGTTCATCTGCTAGTGCATCTAAATCACTTCTGGCATTCAAGATGTTAATCAGCATATCTTCTAAAGAGGCACAGTTTGTAAGATCAATGCTGGTATTTAGCGAAGAAGCCTCCTTAGCAGGCAACTGGTTATTTATATGTGGGATCCAGGAGTCCAGAATACTCCTCCTATCAATACAAACTGATATGCAAGTTGCCAGATTTGGGTATAAAAATGCCAGAATATTATTCTCATCAGTTTCTGTAACGGGCAGAAAGATGCCAGGCCACCTACAGTCTTTCCATGGAAACAGGGTCAACACAGGGCACTGAGAGGCACCAGCGCTGGGTGGTGGCACTTGAGAATAGTCCAGGCAAAAGATGCCAACTGAAGGTATTTCAGTGTAGGCCTAAAAATAAAGCAATGAAATTGCAGAATGTAAAATATGAATTATTTCTTTAGTAAACAACATAAGTTAAATATTTTGTGCCAGCGGAGGCGTTTCTGGGTAGATGGAAGACACCCAGTGCCCCGCCCCCCAAATCCAGCATGTCATAAAAGGTTAAATTTTTGGTCTGTTTGTATTTGGTGTTAATTTAAATTATGTCTTTTAAAACAAAAAAAACTTTGCACAAAATTATAAGTAGAAATTTTAAAAAATGAACTGTGTTTACCAACTCTGCGGCCGCAACATCAAAGTGGCCATCATACTTGTCTGTCTTGGCGGTCACATATTTCAACTCCCTGGGTTTTTATAAATACTGACCAAGTCTCTTCCTCTAGTTTCTTAGGTTAGAGTTTCACAAAATGACGTGTTTCTCTTTTTAACAAAATTTTGAAGGAAAAAAGTTTTTTTTTTTAAACGATTCTTAAAAAGTGACAGGGTTAACAGTGTTGTAAAGCTCCATGTTCGTACCTCTTTCTGCTAAGTGCATATCATACGTGACTTCTACTATTTTTGGGGACCAAATGGCACTCAATGGGTAACATAGTAAACATCATGCTGGCTGCTTTTACTTTCCAGGACATTACCTGGTACCCATTTTAGCCTGAATCAACCTGGAAGACAAAGTCAATTTTGAAAAAAAATATTTTGCGATGTGGATTTGAACCTCATACCTTCAGGTCGCCAGGGCAGTGTCTAGCCACTACCCTACCGTGGCTCCCAAGATGACAAAGACAAATCAATATATTATGTCCTTCATCCTCTTGCTTGTTCTATTCTTTGCTGAAATTCTTTAATACATCTTTGTTGGTGCCCGTGTCTTAGGTGGCACAGTTTGTAACTCTAATATACCCGGTCAAATTCCAGCTATAGAAATCTTGCAGCAGATCACTTTGCATTAATTCAACAATGGTACAGAGAGCCGACTGTTCCAAAAGTAATGGCAAACTATTAAAGGCAAAACTTCCTAGTAAAACCCAAAAATTCTGCAGTTGGTTTTACAACAACATGTAAATGATAAGCAGCTAACATTTTTCTTTTTTAAATACACCCTCCATCAAAATGACCTTGGCTCCCAGGTCCACCCAGCTCTGAATGGGTCCCAGGTGACCCAGCTTTTAACGGGTACCAGGTAAGGTCATGGGAAGTAAAGAACGGGGACCTGATGTTCCTATCACCCACCAAGCGCAGTGGTCTATAGAATATTGGTCTAGCACTATATCTTCAATACGCCTGTAGGTGTGGAAAAGGGTGATTTACGTTAACATCTTCCATCTGTTGTTTTTAGGGTATCTGAAATGCCAATAAGTCTATTCAATTAAAAGTAAACAAGGGCTTTATATAAAACATAAAGCATCACAAAAGACACAACAGAACAAACTATTTCACCAACCATTTCGCCCAAGGCTACAGATGTCAGCACTAAATGGTCAGTAGGGGAAAGTGGCAGATGCCACAACAGGCTTCTTCTTCCATACATGTCTCGGCCAAACCATAACTTCTGTGTGTCTGCCTAGTTTGAAAAGATGAAAAGAAAATATGCTAGAGAAATATCTTCTTGTGACGGACATAAAGGTAGGGATTGAGACAGAAAAAACACGGACCAAAACAGAAGCTGACTTATCAGGGCTAATCAACTTAGTTTACTCAGCGGCAACAATTCTGAAAATTGGATGGCCACGGGTGAGAAACCAAGCCCCTGCCAATTAGTCGACTCCTATGACATGCTTGTTGAGAAGGCAGTGGGTCTATTCTTGTCTTTCCCACAATGGGGCCCCGGAATCAACACGGGAAAGAATCAGAAACAAGTCTGCTGCCATTACCCAAAATTTGACATTTTCATTAGCTAATTATGCATGTAAACAAAAAACAAAACTGTGTACAAAATGGCAACGGTGAACACCAAATTCATAAAAAACGAACCTGCCAAAATATAAAAGCCCAAGGCCCATGGACCTTCTGCATGGTGTTCAGGACATCATCCTCCGTAAGACACTTGACTAAGTGACCAAACAGAACCTCAGTATCATTTTCATGTTCCTCTACCTGTGTTTAAAAAAAAGAAGAAGATTAAAAATCTCCAACAAAACAAAAAAGTAAATAAACGATCATCATCATTCAGCTGGTCTGGTCTAATTTACGTTTTCTGCCCCAGAAAGAGAGAGGTTTCCTTGTCATCTATGAAAGGCCTTGTCCTATGTTGCGGGGCAGTCGGGCTTAGTGACCGGCTACCAGCATGTAGCATTTTACTAGTTCCTGTCAGCGGCCGGTGATATCGCGTGTTGTATATTCCATCCAGGATGTGAGAGCTTTCAACAGACACAAATCATGCACAACTGACCCTAACCCCAACCACCCTATGTCCCACAAGAGAGTGCAGCCTACATCCCACGACTGCATGCAGCCAAGTTGCAGGACTGTATGCAGGGTATATTATAGCTGCATGTAGCCATGTACATGTACATATTCATGGCATTGTGGTGCTGGGGTCTCTGTGGATTACCTACCTCCCCGGGTAGCAGCTAGAAATGCCCTGTACCAGTTCTAAAGGAAATATGGGTTGTGTTTCTGCCTTCCCCTTTAACACGTAGCTAAGGTGGGGCTCACAGTGTGCTCATTCCCCGCCACCAGATTGCCTGCAGGTTTCGCTGAGCTCTTCGTGGCTCTAAGCATGAGTAGTTGGGGCAACTGGATCGTCACGTCCTGAGTCCCTGTGCCTTCACGATAGTTTCCGGTATTCAGGGGGGTTTTTTAAGCATATTTGTTTCCATTCCTAAGACTGTTCAGCACACCTCTGGCTCCTTCCCTCCCACAGGGGGCAGTACGGTGTGGTGAACCGGGTTTATTATCGAGGTTTGCTTCTCTAGATCCATTGTGTTTTGCCTGGGGATTCGCACCCCCAGTTACCAGGACTACCTCGGGGAGGCTGTGACTCTTCGCCACGCACAATGGTCTTGAGGTAAGAGAGGTTTTGCTAGGTCAAGAGGCTGACACCACAATGGACGCTCCTTTCGTGAACAGATATTCACTAGACCTAGGGTGAAGTAAGGGGGGGAACCCACTACACTTCTTACCCCCTGCCTCTCGAGGCTCAGTCCCGTAGCCATGTACATAGGCTGCACACACTCGCAGGATGTAGGGCCAGTTCTGCATGTCTTGGGACCGTATTCCCGGCCAGTGACAAAGCGTGACATTCCCGCAACATAGGACAAGCCCTGCGACACAGCAATTCATGAATGGAAAGAAAGTCACCCTCTTTCTGGGGCGGAAAACGTAAATAGGACCACAGGTCTTGTTCAGACTTCTGCCACGTCATGTCTAAAAGTCTCTAGTCAGTTCTCTAGCTCTAAGTGCTTCTTCTTCTTCACATTCACTGGCTGTAATCTCCGGCAGAAAGTTCTAGGTGTTTGTCCACCTTTGGTCTTTAATGTTGTTTCAGAACCTGAGTGTTGCATGCATATCTGTTTTATATATCTGGCCTATTTGTATGCAGACTCTTGGTTCTTTGCCTCTCAGGCAGATGTACTCTGATTTCGAAGATGCACCCAAACAATCAACTATGACATATTTGTTGGGGAGGCTGTGGGCCTATTCTTGTTTTCCCCACAATGGAGCCCCGGAACAAACACAGGGACTTTGTATTTTTTATAGCTAATGCATCTTTAACATTGTGTTCCCACTTTTGTGGAGGTATGCCTCTGCCTCATTTTTCTGAAACTATACCCTTCACCATAATTCTCTCCAGGCCACCATGATGCTTAACAAGGTCAAATACCCTAACTTTCAGGGCATGCTATTTATGAGCCAATTCTCCCGGATGTTCGGATCATGCTGGTCTATTCTTTTTTCCCCTAAATGAGGCCCTGGAACCCATAAGCAGTCTTAATATAATGGTCTGTTGCTTACAAATGAGGAGGCCGAGTGGGTCTTCTGAATTATATTCTGGATAGCATGTGTTCTAAAGGGTTCTAACGGCTGCCTTAACATTTTCCTTCTAGTGCATTCTGATTCTGGCTTTTCTGTATAGCTTTCAAAGTATCAATGACAAGATTACCTGGTGGCTGAAGAAAAAAACTGATCATTGTATGTGACTAACAACTGATGGGGTCAAAGAGTCGTCTTGCACCAACCAGCAGGTATGCGAGAAATCATTTAAAACTACGCCAAGTTAAGAAACAACATAAAAGCACTAGTGATATTTTTATTAGCCACGTCATAAGCAACCATTGTTGATGGTATCAGCATCAATCTGATTGTATGTCTGTCCTGCCTTTTGGGTGTCGAGGGAGATATAAGGTTCTGTTTCTAGCTCTTCTGGCTGCTTCGACCATAGGCACATCGTGCTGTTGTAGAGTTTCTCTGATGTTATCCTTCCATCTTGTTCTTGGTCTACCCCGTGCTCTACGTCCTTCTTCTCTTCCCATGTATGCTTTGTATGGTATGGTGTCACAAGGCATTCTCTCTAAGTGGGCAAACCATTTCACTTGCTGTCTTTGTATGTAATCCAGAATTGGTTCTGTGCCGACTTGTTCTCTTATGATCTCATTTCTGATCTTATCTCTTATGGTCACTCCTACAGCCCTTCTCAGACATCTCATTTCCGTGGTTACTAATTTTCTTTTATGGTTTGTTGTGAGTGACCATGTCTGGCACTGGTAGCACAGAGTTGGAATAAATATGCTTTGAATAAGATGTCTCTTTGTGCTGATTGGGATTGTCTTATGCTGTAAGAGGGGGGCTAGCTGTCCCAATACTCGGTTTGCTTTACTGCATCTAATGTCAATTTCTTTATCCAATTTCCCATCTTCGGTAAATGTAGTTCCCAGATATTTAAACTCAGATGCCTGTTTAATGCCTTTGTATTCTATTGTTATGTTTAGATCTGTCTTCTTTTTTCCTATTGACATTACTTCTGTCTTTTCAGTGTTGATTCTCATATTATTTGTTTTACATTCTTCATTCATGGATGTTAGATGTTGTTGCAATTTCATGGCTGTATCTGCTATCAAGGCCTGGTCATCTGCAAAGAGTAATTCGTTGATCTTACTAAGATCTTCATTCATGGGCTTGGCATTCTTGCATATACTGTCGATGTAGGTGATAAACAGCAGTGGTGATAAGACACACCCCTGTCTTACTCCAGATGTCACTGTGAAAGGATGAGATGTTCCCTGATTTATTCTAACTACACTTCTACAATCCCTGTATAAACTTTTGCACACTTCGATGAGGTGTTCGCTTACTCCATATCTTGCCATTATTTTCCATAATAATTGTCTGTCGACTCTGTCAAATGCCTTCTCCTGGTCTACGAAAGCCACAAATAAGTTCTTATTGTATTCAATGTTCTTTTCTATTAACTTGATGCATCAATAACTTTAAAATGTAAACTATTTCACATTTACATCAAAGTGATCATGTAAATAACAAACTAGTGACATACCTGTATGCCATCAAAAACTTCTCCATTCCATAGAAAAGCATTGCCATCTGCATCAGACACAGGCTGTGGTGTTAAATGACCCCGAAGATGTAGAACACAACCCTGCATGTAGCCAGTAAGGTTTTCAGCAAGTGAGATGACATGACTTCTAGACACATCTGGACCTCGGTGATGCAGCAAGGGATCACAAAATAAAGTATTCTAAGGGATAAATAACAAAAGTGTAGAACTCTAATATTACACATACATAACTATGAGAAAGAAACATGGTATCCTTAGTTCATGTGATCAGATCAATGAACAGAACACAGCGATTTTCTTTTGTTTGGAGGCTAAACTCTGGCAGAAAGTCCTGGCTGTTTGTCCATGCCTGGACTTGTCTTGTTTTAGGGCTTGAGTACTGGATGAAAACTGCCCATCCCTCTGGTAGATGCACTCTGACCTCAAAGAAAATGTTAACCCTATCTAAGCTGGTCAAGTTTCCTGTTAGAAATCTGCACTAGGATGACCATGGAGATGTGTAGATAAGTCCTGAGCTGGGCACTACAACACAAACACTTGTGGTGATGTAGCTCTGCATGCTCAATATAGTGACAATTTAAATCATGGTGTAAAATTGTGGCAGGGACGACTATAGTTGATCCAGTATTATTTTGATTCCAGAACACCGAGGTCTCAGATCTCTTTCTTACGCCTAAACCCTTACAAGGGCAGCTGGTACTTTAAGTTGTGGTTTACAGCTAGGCTGCAATATATCTGCTAATTCTGGCCCCAACACATTAGATTTAAGCTAACTTATAATTCTAAAGCAGTGGATGTTTTCTGTTTGAACAACCCCCCCCCCCCCTCTCTCAAGGGTCCTCAGAACTACAGGGACAGATCTATAGTGTCTACACTACCTGGCAGAGCCTATGATTTCTTAGTTAATGCTCAACTTCTGAAAGTCTTCTTCTAAGCATTCACTGGCTGTAAACTCCTGCAGACATTTCTGGTTTGTCTGCTCCTGGACTTTGGTCTTGATCCAGAACTTGAGTTCTGCGCGCACAACATTTTTGACTGATCTGGCTTATTTAAATGCATACTCTTCATTCCTTGCTCCTCGGTTGTTTGAGTTTGAGGGAAATACCCTAATTAATCACGCTTGTCAGGTGAAGGTAGTTTTTTCCCTTCGAACCTTCAAAATAGAAGGGAAATATCAAGAAGTGAGACCAGAGGAATCATTTGTTGACATAAAGATAAGTCATAGATGACAATCATGGTTCGGAGGACCCTTTGTCCCACACATGAAATCATATATTATAATATTATTAATACATTTTTAATAATAATAATAATAATATATAAATTTTAAATCTAAATAGTACAATAATTTCCTGTGATAAAACTTCAAAAGAAAAGTCATACAAATTTTCAAGAAGCAATCAATGTAGACAAAGATGGGGAGAAACTGTTAAGGTTAGGAGACAGTGTCGCTGTCTGTAAACTCCAGCAAAAAGTTCTGGTTGTTCATCCTTTTCTGGAATTTGATCTTGCTCCAGAACTTGAGTGTTGCATGCACGTACAAAGGCTGTTGGTTTATGGTCTGTCAGGTAGATATGCACTCGGACATCAGGAAACACACCGACTAATAATGTTGACTTATCTCATGACAGCACATTCGTTAGGTGAAAGTTGGTCTATTTCTCCCCAAAAAATAGAGCCATGTGATGCAACCCACCGAGAGAGAACAGAGTGAGAAGAATGAGAGATTTTCTGCCAAATAGAGCCATGTGATGCAACCCACCGAGAGAGAACAGAGTGAGAAGAATGAGAGATTTTCTGCCAAATAGAGCCATGTGATGTAACCCATCTCCACAAGAAAACAAGCTAGTGACTTCTTACTTCATCATAATAATTATTAACATAAACTAAATTAAGTATTACTGTCGTGTCTAATCTATTCAATGATTAAAAACAAACGGCTCTCCTCCGAACTTCGACCCAATATTATGGTGGCCATTAAATATCCTTACGGGGCTCAGGCATATGTAAAATGTGGACTGTCTGCCAAGGAACAAATCACGGCAAAACAAGGATTACTTGACAATTTCAAGAGACGCAACATTGCAGACGATAGTAGCAGACGATAATAGCATACGCAAAACGCGATTAAACTCACTTCCGAGCATATCCCCTGGGCCGCTACCTGCGGATGGGGGGCTAAACTAGGTGCCTGGGACTCACGAGCAAATTAATTGGAGGAAGTTGCAGGAGATGTAGCTGCTGCTCGTGAGTCCCAGCCATCTAGTTTAGCCCCCATCCGCGCCGCACGGGGGATACTGGTCAATGGTGAGGCACAGTCACAGAAACAGGCCCAGTTAGAGCATTTGTTTCGTTATACGGAGCCGGCATATTTTTTTAAGAACTGAGCCCCGTTAAGATATTTTATGGCCACCGTAATATCGGGTCGAAGTTCAGAGGAGCCAAACAAACTTTACCATCAACAGATCAGCATCCCCTTGCTTTCTGGACACATCAGAAGCATACGGCACGGTTGTATCATCAGCATCCACAAGATGATTATCTTTACTATTAACTGTAGTAGCAGCCTGGGTTGTAGCAGAAAAAACAGCAGTGCTAGCAGGAGATCGTTTATTGCTACATGTGCCAATTGTGTTTTGTGTACAATTTTGGTCTTCAAGTTCCACCATCAAGTCTCCAATCTGTGACTTCGCTGACGGTGACATCGAACAAATAAAACATATTCCGCACATTGTAAATACTTGACTGTGTTTGTTATTTATATTTTCTGGTCATACCGGTAATATCATTAAATCGATTAATTTAGTTATTCAGCTTTAAAATTTTCACCACATGGCTTTTGTTTACAGAGAAGTACCACGACATGAGAACGACAGTGCCAGAGCCAAGCAATTAAAAGCGACCAAATGTAGGCAGAACGCAGAAATGGAGGGATTTCTTTTTCTGGTGATTGATACTCAGTACAGGCGCCTTTCTTGTAAGCATAATTTTGTCAGCGCAACTTAATAAACATTATATGGTGAGTACCGCACCTTTTGCAGATACTTTGTGATAAGTACCCGCACCTTTTGCAGATACTTTGTGTACCTGCACTTTTTTTCCCAAGGGAAAAATCCCCTGCAGAAATATAACTGTTTTCTTCAAACTTTCTGTTTTACTGTTTATCATTGAAGACGAGTCCTACTTTAATGGCTTAAACAAGCAGCTATATTGAACAACGAATGAGCCCTTAAGTCCAATCAAAGCTAATTAGGTGAAAATCGTAGAGGGCGCCTTTTTTACGCCAGTCCGGTATCGAGTTTTTTGTTTTGTTTTTGAAGTATCCAAGAGCCATAAGTTGTTAACCCTTAGGCACGGTATTATGGATATCGCAACCCTTCGACCTTGATTCCATGATAAATACCGTAAATCTGGGAGAAATGTGGCTTTTCTGCCTACCCCCGGGCGTGAACCCGGACCACAAGGAGTTTGTCACCCGGTCACCGCGCAATACGGTTTAGCCAACTACGCTAGCGAGCAAGGCCGGTATCAAGTATAAGATGCTAGACTCATGTTGTATAGGGCAATCACCGTGGTGTAGCGGCTTGACGCTCGCCTGCAGATCGGACCGGTCGTGGATTCGGATCCTGACGGAACAGGGTTTTGTTATTGTTGTTTACTGCGACTGCTGCTGTTACTATTAAGGTTCCTGGTGCTTCCACAGCTGATATGTTTGTTCAAGTCTGCATTCCTGTGTTCTGAAACTAATGTTTGTTTGGTTCCAAGTTGGAATTTGTTGAACTAATGGTGGTGGTAGTGGAAATGAGGGAGGCAGGTTTTTTCTTGTTAATGATGATCTTGTTGTTGCTGTTGCTGCTGTTGCTGCTGCTGATATTATTATTTTTGCTTCAGTGGCTCCTGCTGCTTCTACAGGTGTTACTACTGGCTGGCTTTGCACAGCTTGGTGGAAAACTGATGCATGCTAAGGCGGACGTGGTTAGTGCCTTGTGGGAGAGCATGTACAGTTCTGAGAAGCAGATGGATCACCACAGTCTGGTGAGATTGATGCAGGAGGAAGTGACGAGAGGTTTTGGCAGATGCTCGAGGCTCAGAGAAAAGGAAAACGGACGTTTAATCAGAATTCTACTGGCACCATTAATATCGGAGCTCTTCGCTGGCTGCTGAAAATGGGGAAGGAGTGCTAATGGGAATGCCCCGAGTGCTGTGATGTCGGTTCTTGAAGCAAATCAAATCAAATCTACAAGTGTTAGCACTGCGTCTTTAATATGTTTAAAACTGTTTTTGTGTGTTCTGGAACTAATATCTGTTTGATTCCACGTTTAACAAAGTTGAACCAGTGATGGCTGTGGATGGGAAAGGGGTCTAAAGAATCTCAACACAGTACACGAACTCCGTTGCACCGGCGAGTATCCTGAAATACTTTGGGTAGTTTTTAAACCCCAAATTTCGCCCGAGCGGCGTCGTTAGGATACCTTTTTCCAAATTCCATCTTCCAAGGTATTTTTTAACGTGCGTAACAATACACACGGGCGTCAGATCTTTCTACCCAGAGACCAGGGGAAATTACTAGAAGTCCAAGTGTAAAAATCAAAGCCTTCACCGGAGTTTGAGCCAGGGACCTCCAGCACTTCAAGCGAATTACATACCTCAAGACCACTCATCCCGGCCCCCCCACCCCCCCCCCTTCCCCGTTGTTAAGGCTGATCTTATTGTTGTCAATGTTGATTTTGTTGTTGTTGTTGCTGCTGCTATTGCTGTTGCTTCTGGGATAACTGCATCTCCCGCTAAGTCGCTTGTTTATACATGAGTGCCCACCAACCCTTGCAATGTCTTTCGATGACTGGTTTGATATAAGTGTCTGTCAAAGTCGTTTTTATGGGCTGGGTACAAGCTGTTAGTGTATGTGTGTAGAATCCCATGAATCCTCCACTCCCAGTGTCTGCATTGTAATTTTGGTTTCCCTCATCTTTATCTTCTTAGCGTTCACCGGCTATAAACACCTTCGGAAAGTCTTAGTTTTTGTCTGCTTTTGGACTTTAATGTTGTTCCAGGACTTCACTGTTGCGTGCACATCCGATTTACATATATGGCTTATTTGAACGCAGACTGCTGTTTCCTTGTCTTTCATGTAGTGTACTCCAGCTTCGAAGGAAACTTCTGTAATTAGTCGCCTTTTACGACATTTCTGTGCTTTTTGTTTCTGCTGGTACACCGTGGTGCCCAGTACCGGTACCTTTTTTTTTAAATGGGGAATTTTTTTCGCACTACTGTAGTAGACACTTTGTGGTAAATCCTAGTATCTTTAGGATGAGTGACAGAGACTTGTCTGAGATCCATTGCAGCTAACCTTTATCGTCAAACGGCATCTCATTGAATGACTTTGTACCATTAATGAATACTCATTCAGTCTAGCCCAATTGTTCTCAACCTATCTAATGCCGCGACCCTTCAATACACTTCTTCATGCTATGGCGAACCCCAACTATACGATTATTTTCGTTGCTACTACATAACTTATATAAATATGCGTTTTGTGATGGTATTTAGCGACCCCTATGAAAGTTTCGTTTAACCCCAAAAATGAGAACCTCTGGTCTAGCCGGACGTATCACGTCAAACAAATGATAACTGAACTGGTTTATCTAATATGCCTATGCGACATAATTCCAGCTTTCCTAATAATCCACCCACATCGAATGGTTCTTGCTAATTCTGCCACATGAGTTTGCGGTGCGCTAAAACAAACCCCAGAGCATGTCTTACAGAAGAAGACACAAACAATAGATTCCACAATGTACACAATATATTGCCTAGCATATTTCGCTGTATCTTCTTCTTTTTCTTGTTCACCGGCTGTGAATTCCGGCGGTAAGTCAGGTTGTTCGCCCAATTGGACTTTTGGCTTTTACCTTGACCTGAGTTTTGCGTGTACATCCGTTTTACTGGCTTATTGGTTTGCAGTTCTCGTTCCCGGCCTCTCCGGCATATGTACTCCGACTTCGAGGGAAGACGTCAATCCTATCTCTATGTTGACTGTGGCCATTGTTTTGTGTGGGTCGAGATGTTGCCTCATTTGTGTGGGGTCCTCTTTGACCCTTTGCAGGTGTGGCCCCCGAAGAACCTCCCCCCCCCCCCCCGGGCAGCCCTAGGTAGAGTTGTCAGCCCTCAAGGGAAGGCAGGGGTAGATCATGGGCATTTCCCTCCATCCAAGGAGGCTTCCAAAAATGCAGAGCCGACACATGATGCTCTGGTTCTGGGCTCACCCAATGAATCGTCACGTCCTGCACAGGACTGCTTAACCTCACAACCGTATATTGAGCTGTCTGCTCCACCAGGCTGCGCACTCCGGGGATTAGCGGGGAGCAGCCTGCAGGTCCAAGACTTTTGTGGCCACACACATTGGTAAATTCTTCTTCATTGCACGTTAGACAGCTTTAACGTTGTTTCAACTGTGCCCATAGCACGACAGTATATGGAAGCATGCGTCAGGCGTGGTTTCACCTGTTTAGTCCCAACACTCGGGCGATTGGGGCCAGTGTATACACACATTTGGACTTTTTTCTAATCGGTACCATTTATGATGATCGGGCTTTGAGCTTGCTTGTATGGCGTAGGATCTAATGTCGGACATTTTTCCCTAGCCAGCAGATGAAAAATTGCTGTCGTGGTGTACCTCAGCGCGGTGACGACGACGCTGAGGACTGACAGACGGTGTACGTAGGTAGGATCTGACTGCGAGAAACCAGCCACAGGAGATATTACTCGTCTTGGCTGCGGGTATATCTCTTGGTCAAGGGTTGAGTCTCAGCAGCACAGTTTTCCATTCGCTCCAGACTTTTAACAGAGAGTTGTCATTTGGTGGTACATTTGGCAAGCAGACTACTCATGTTCCGAATGAGTTTTGATAGACTTTTCACCCATGCATTTGGGGGGCAGGCTGATGGCCAGAAAAGACACTACACCTCTGGGGGCTGCCAGCTCCGAGATCCCCTGCCAACTCTGTTAATGCTCATTTGAGACATTATCCGTGGCGCACGACCGGGACGTGCAGCAGGAGTCTTGCATGAGGTTCCGTAAAACCAGAACAGTGAAGGACTGGCGCCCGAGTGAGGTACGGAGTATCTCCTTATACACATCACATCAGACTTAACTGTCCATCACGCCTGTGACCGAAATCACCGCGCCACTTCGCTGTATCTCATTACTGTAGTATGCACCTGATGAGATACAGCGAAATATGCCAGGCCACACATTGTGCAATCTATTGTCTGTGTCTTCTTTGTTCAAATTTCACAATTTTTTGTAATCCTAATGACATTTTATCAGCTTCAAAATTTAATTGATGTTCCATTATTAATAATGTGTGCAACTAAAATTTACATTTATTTCGCTAATATTTATTTTTAAAATTCAAACTCTTTCCAGTTACGTATTTTAATTTATTATTTGTAATTACAAAAATAATTATCAGCTCTCTTTTTCATCAGTAATTTGGAAAAAGTATTTTCTCCCTTTAAACGTCTTCTTCGGCGATCTCTGGTCATGCGCATAATCACGACCAACTCTAGATATAAATATACAGCCGGACATGCGCATAATCCACCGTGAGCCATAAACTGGGATGTCTTTTCAAGGTCTGTTAGGTTTCCCCAAAGCTTAGTTGACAGTTCTACTGGGTGTTGCCATATGTTGCTCCGCAGCTCCGTCAGGAGACTACAGTCTTGCAGGACAT